ACATCCATTACTGAGCCAATCACTGTGGCCTAGGGGTTGTAATATACAAATTGGCCAGGTACAGAGCAAGAAGTGGAATCTCTGCCTTGTCTTCCCAAACTTCCAGATGGAGAGAACAGGGGAGGGTTATTTCCTGAGGACAAATCAAGATGCCTTCCCTGAGAAGACAGAGTGGGTGTCTGGTAGAAGAAACAACTAGTGCCCACTTACACAGCTGCAGCTCTGTGACTCCTAGTGCCTCCATATCTACCATCTCATTTAATTCTCAAAACAATCCACAGGGATGAGATCTTAACCCCATAACCATTGTTCTTAATCCCCATTTCTGGAGCTGCGGTCTGCCCGTTCTTTTCCTCACTTTGTGAGAAAGAAATTGAGGCTCTATCAACTCCTGTTTTCTTTCTTTTTTCTAAGAGAGAGATTTTTGTGATAGGGTCATGTGCGCTTGCCAGAGAGACAGAAAGTAAGAAATTACCCCCCCAGGGGGATGGCCACACTGCAATTCCTTTTCCTCCATTTTCCTTTGGGATTTTGGGCACACATGCACATGTGCATAGTATGCGTTTGAAAGCACTAGGTCCAGGACTCAAACTTTGGTCTATTATGTGGGAGTCCAGTGACGTAATCATTATGCCATCTGCTGGTCCTGCATATCCTATTTTCATTTCATCTTCATTTTTTTAATAAGAATTATTTATTTAGTTATTTTTTATTTGTTATTATTATTATTTTTAAAATTTTGACCAGAAAGAGACAGAGAGAAAGGTAAAGTGAGAAAGCAAGCCACCAGGTCCGGGACTCAAACTGTGGTCAACCATGTGGGAGTCCAGCACCTTAACCACCACACCACGTGCTAGCCCCTCATCTTCATTTCTATGCGGGTTGTGGTTAGATGTAGCTTGTATCATATTACCTTCATTTATTTACTCCTAACCTCCTCACCCATCCCCACGCACATACTTGCAAAATACCTACCAAATTGTTGCCATGATTAATGGTAGATGGGCTTAGAATCTTCATTTTTAAGGGAGAGAAGGGCCAATAGAAAGATCCATAGTTTTCTTCATGACCTGAGACACCAAGAGAGGCCTGGGTTCAATTCCCAGTCCAACCTAAAGGCTGAATGCAGTGGTACATGCCTATAATTCTAGTGACTCGGGAAGGCTGAGGCAAGAGGACCACAAGTTAAAAGCTAGCCTGGGCAACATAGCAGACCCTGTCTAAGAAAGACCAGGGTGCGTGCCTGTGGGCCCAGCTAAGAGGGTGATGCAAGAGGAGTAAGACCCTATCTTTAAAAAGAAAAAAAATGGACAGAATCGGGTACGTGCCTGCCGTGAATGCTAGGCTCTGTAGGGCAGGGGAAGAACAAAAGGTGTGGGGTACTGCTCTAGCAGTGAAGAGTAGACAGAAAAAAAAAAATATTAGGTCATGGGAACCAGCAGTTAGCGTAATGGCTATGTCGCTGGACTCCCACATAGTCAACTGCGGTTCGCGTCCCGGACCCGGTGGCTTAAAACTCACGCCAGGCGCGTGTGCGTGCGTGCCCAAGATCCCGAGAGGAGAATGGAGGAGAAGGGATTGCGGCGTGACCAACCCCTCTGGGGGGTGATTTCTCGCTTTCTGTCTCTATGTCTCTCTCTGTCTGGCGAGCGCACGCGCCCTATAGCGAAAACCTCTCAAAAAAAAAAAATATTAGGTCATCAGGAAAGTCATGACATATTTTTCTATGCAAAAATGCGTCAAGACTTTCCTGAGAACCCAGTAATTCCAAACTGACTAAGGGTTGTAAAGGAAACTCGACAGAGTTAGGTCTTCAAATGGGGGGTAGGAGGGTGGGAGAGAACAGGTATGGTACTGCAATCAGTACTAATGTCATTAAAGGGAGTAAATGTTGTGCTTTAGGAGGGAAATGTGCTGAGGAAGATGGGAGTTTTCACTTGGTATCATCTTAGGTCAGACTAGGTAGCAAGGAAGTCTGGAGGTTGGGTGGGGTTGAACGTGGGAGAAGTCAAGTGAGCTCATGAGCTGTCTGAAGCTCAGCGTCCAGCCTGAGGCCTTTCCTCCTTGCATATTCTGGAAAATCCCTTTGGCACATTCTGCCTCATCCTGGAAATGGTACCAGAAACTGGGCTGGCTGGGTCTTCTGACACACACCTGTGAGTGTGTGCACACCTGTGAGCACCTGTGCCTGTCCTGTTCTCAGGCTAGAGGGGCCCTGCCCCAGCCACACTTAGCAGCCTATGTGGGCTCAGTCCTCTCAGAGGGACTTCCAATGACTGTCCTCGTCATGTTCTCCCCTGCAGGTGTACCAGGACAATGTGTACTCTCCTGACTGCAGGTTCCACTCCTTCAAGAAGGTGCTTTATGAAATGGGGCCCGAGTATTCCAACAACGTCGAGCTCGCCTCCTTCCACTCCACCTCCAAGGGCTACATGGGCGAGTATGTTGACCTCCACCTCTCACCCGCTGCCTGCCCCTCTGCCCTGATCCCTGGTTCATTCTCTTGAACAGAGGAAAACCTGCCATTATCTTTTGCTTCTGCTGATCTAAGAAACAGGAGAAGACAGGTTATACCTCCCCAAGGGAGGAGCCCAAAAGTATGAGAAGAGCCCTATTATAGGGGTTCAAATAAGACCATGCTTGAAAGAAACCAGACTGTGGATGAATGATGGAAATGAAAACAGGCTCTCAAGGGCCAGCAGATGGCATGGTGGTTAAGGCACTGGATTTCCACATGGCCGACCATGGTTTAAGTCCCAGACCTAGCAGCTTCCTTTCTCTTGCTCACTCTCTGGTCAAATTGAAGAATAATATTAAATTAAATTTATAATTCTTAAGAAAGGGACCAGCAGTTGGCATAATGGCTATGTCACTGGACTCCCATGTAGTCAATCGTGGGTTTGAGTCCCGGACCCAGTGGCTTAAATTCATGCCAGGCGCATGTGCATACATGTCCAAGATCCCAAGAGGAGAATGGAGAAGGGATTACGGTGTGGCCATCCCCTCTGGAGGATGATTTCTCACTTTCTGTCACTCTGTCACTTTCTCTGTCTTTCTGGCAAGCACACGCGCCTTATAGAAAAAAACTTCTCCTCCCCCCAAAAAATTTCTTAAGAAAACAGGCTCTCACAGCAGCTTCTAACATTTAGTGTTTTCTGCCAGCCCTATCACCATTGCTCTAACACTGTAATTGGAGAGGCCAGGGTACAGGTTGAGTGAACAGGTGCTATAAGGCTGATGGATCAAGCTCTGGGCAGGGCTGCTTTAGCTCCAGGTAGCCCTGGGGGCTGAAGGGTCAACTTCAGTCCTGTATTCTTCCATTCAGTCATATTTAATGAGTATGTACTATTAGTCCAGTGTTGCTCTTGGCACTGATGATACAGCAGTGAACCAACTACAGCAACCCCTGCCCTCACAGAGCTTATATTCCAGCCAGGAAAGAAGTAACAAATGAGTAAAATCATGTCTCCTATGGAGAAAACTAATTAGAGAAGAGGTGAGGGTGGGCTCACAGGCTTGACTAGAGCAGTCACAATGAGGAATTGGCTTTTATGTTAAGACTTGAAGGATGGGGACCAGCAGTTGGCATAATGGCTGGGTCGCTGGACTCCCATGTAGCCGACTGTGGTTTGAGTCCTAGACCTGGTGGCTTAAACTCACACCAGATGCATGTGTGTGCATGCCCAAGATCCCAAGAGGAGACTGGAGGAGAAGGGATTGCAGCGTGGCCATCCTCCCGGGGGGTGATTTCTCACTTTCTGTCTCTCTGTTTCTCTCTGTCTTTTTGGTGAGCACACGCACCCTATAGCAAAAACTTCTCCAAAAAAAAAAAAAAAAGACCTGAAGGAGGGAACTCGACTGATATTTGGGAGAAGAATGTGCCAGGCAGAGGAAATGGCACATACAAAAGCCCTGAGACATGCATGCTTGACATGTTGGAAGAGCAGCAGAGGAGCTGGAAAGGAATGAGCAAGGGAGAATGTGGCTGGGGTTGAAACCAAAGAAGTCATAGGAGGCCAGATCACTGGCACCGCTTTACTCTGTACTTTTCACTCTTACGCTGAGTGAGATGGAACCATTGGAGGGTTTAACCAAAGGTGTGACCTCACCTGACTTGTGTTTTACTGGACCTCTCTAGGTGCTGTATAGTGGGGGCTGGGGCAGAAGTGGCCACTCAAGTCAGGAGGCTGTTACAGTCCTCCAGGCAAGAGACCATGGACCAGGGTAGACTGGGAGAAGACCCGAATATATCTGAAGGTGGAATTGACATGAGTTGCTGATGGAAAGATGAGTGTGAGACAGAGACAAAGATGAATCTCAAGTTTTTTGTTCCAACAATAGAATGGGTGGAGTTGGCCCTGACGTATGAGGTACTATGGGTGAAACAGGTTTACAGATGTTTGTTTGACCTCCAGATAGGGATGGATTACAAGTCTGCAGATCAGTGTTGACAGCGAGCAGATTTAAATTCGGGAGATGTCAGTTAATGAATTGTAAGGCTGTTGGAAGCTGGCTGGGCTGTTTATGGCTGGGCCTCATGACACACACGCACTGCAGGGTGGCCTTGAGCACCTGTGCGTGCCATAGGGACAAGGAGAGAAAGAGAGAAAGGGGAAAAGTCCCTACCATGGGGCCTGGTCATGCTCTGAGGTTCTTTTTTTATTATTATTATGTGATCTCAGCTTTTTTTTTTTTCTTCCTTTCTTTCCCTCTGGCTAGAGGGTCTCTACCCCCTTGGCCATAATTGGTAGCAGCCTGTGGGTGTGTTTTAATGTGGAACCAGAGTAGAGAAGAGATCTAAAGAGGGCTGGCCCCGTAGCCTAGTGATTAAGGGAGCTGGATCCCATATGGCCAACTGTGCTTTGGGTCCTGGCCTCGTTGGCTTTAAAAACACACCAGGCACAGGCATGTGCATGCCCCAAATCCCAACAGGATGGAGAAATGGAAAAGGGATTGTGGCTTTCTCCCTCTCTCTCTCCTGGCAAAAAATTAAAAAAGAGAAAGGGAGAAGAAGTCCAAAACAATGGACCTGGGTCCCCACTGCTCAGAGGTTGGAGGAGAGGAAGAACCTGAAAGGAGACTGAGAGGGAAGGACGAGTGCGTTTATAGCTGAGGACATTCATTCCCATCATCAGGGTTTCCCTATGCACTAGGCATCAGTGTGAGGGGGATTCTTGTCTGTTATGCTGGAAGCCAGTGTAACTGTGAAGTTTAAAGAAATATTTTAGTCAGATCAAGGGAACTGTTTCATTGTGATGGTTGCCACTCTGTTATTGGTTTTATTTGATATAGACATGGGGTTAATTTTAGCTAGTCTTTCTGGTCTACCCCAGGAGCAGTGCTAGTGGCTCCTTGCTAGACTTTCATGTATTTGTGAAATTCTTTTCCTGAAGAGATCTGTTCTCTTTGAACTCTTTTTTTTTTTCTTTTTTTGAAGAGGTTTTTGCTATAGGGCATGTGCCCCCACCAGACAGACAGAGACAGACAGACAGAAAGCGAGAAATCACCCCCCCCCCAGGGGGGATGGCCACACCGCAATCCCTTCTCCTCCATTCTCCTCTTGGGATCTTGGGCACGCACGCACACGTGCCTGGCGTGAGTTTAAGCCACCGGGTCCAGGACTCGAACTGCGGTCGACTACGTGGGAGTCCAGCGACATAGCCAATACTCTAACTGCTGGTCTCTTGAACTCATTTATCAAATTAGGGCATGTGTATCACATACCTCTCTGCCTCTCTATCTCTGTTATTGATTACTTCATAAATCGGTCCCCCAGATTGTTGGTGTTCTGAGTTCTGCCCCATTGTCCTCCAATCCTAATTAGCTAGGATTAGACTGCTTTTCTCAGTTTGATTCTCTGCTCATCAGCAGAGGATTAAACAAAGTTCTTTTAATTTTTGTTTTGGGAAACTTTCCTGAAATACCAGAAATTATCTTCCCTCTTTAGATAGTCCAGTCCAGGAATCAGATGGGAATCTTTCTTTGCCAGTTTAGTTGAGCCATTGCTGGTCTGAAAAGCACTTAATTGAAGATCTCATCATGTTTGAAGTTGGGGGTCGGGGAAACACAGAGGAAAGTAACAAGAGGTCCTGTCTCAGGGTGCCTGCATTTCTGTGATAATTGGTCTGGACAGTGGCAGTCAGACCAGACAAGGAGGCAAAGTTCTAGAAAGTGTGGTCGTTGTTGCTAATTTGATCCCAGAAGATATTTTTTAACTCATTATGTGATCTTAACTTTTCTTTTCTTTCTTTCTTTCTTTTTTTTTTCTTTTTCTTTTTTTTTTAGCAATAGGGCATGTGCAATTTGCCAGAAAGGGAGAGAGAGAGAGAAAGTAAGAAATCACCCCCCACCATGCTGCCATCCTCCTCCATTCTCCTCTCCAGATTTTCAAGCTTCTCAGCATGATTTTCAAGCCACCAAGTCTGGGACTCAAACCATGAAGTCAGCTTTGTGGTATCCAACCACCTTAACCTCCATGCTACCTGCTAACCCCAGTCTCAACTTATTAATTTATTTTCACATGATTTGTCTCTGTGTTTGTAGGATTCTTCTAGCTATAAGTTATAGATACTTACCTTGAACTGGGTTATGCCAAATAGGCGTTTTGTTTTGTTTTTTTAAAGAGAGACTTTTGTTGTAAATTGTGTGTGCTTGCTAGAAAAACAGAAAGTGAGAAATCACTCCTGGGGGATAGCCACACCACAATCCCTTCTTCATTCTCTTCTAGGGATTTTGGGCACACATGCACACGTGCCCAGCATGAGTTTGAAGTTTCTGGATCTGGGACTCAACCATAGTTGACTACGTGGGAGTCCATCAATGTAACCATTATGCCATCTGCTGATTTCCATATAGACTTTTGTTTTCCCCCTTTTTTTAACCAGAGACCACATATTCTCACTAGAGAGAGTCCTGGGGACAAGGAGAGACAAAGGGGGAAAAAAGTTCCCACTATGGGGCTGATCACGCTGCAATCCCTTCTCCTCCATTTTGCCTTCGTCAGGATTTTTGGCATGCATTCATATGCACCCAGAATGATTTTCAAGCCACCAGGTCCAGTACTTGAAATACGTGATCAGTCATATGGTATCCAGCTTCCTTTATCTACCAGGCCACTAGCTGGCTCAGAAAGACTTTTTTAAAATAATTATTATTAGGGCCCAGCAGATAGCTAGTGATTACATCACTGGACGCCTTCGTCAGGATTTTTGGCATGCATTCACATGCACCCAGAATGATTTTCAAGCCACCAGGTCCAGTACTTGAAATACGTGATCAGTCATATGGTATCCAGCTTCCTTTATCTACCAGGCCACTAGCTGGCTCAGAAAGACTTTTTTAAAATAATTATTATTAGGGCCCAGCAGATAGCTAGTGATTACATCACTGGACTCCCACATAGTCTACTTCAGTTCAAGTCCTGGGCCTGGCAGCTTAAAACTCACACTGGGTACATGTGTGTGCATGCCCAAAATCCCAAGAAGAAAATGAAGGAGAAGGGATTATGGTATGGCCATGACCCCTGGATGGTGATTTCCTTCTCCTCCATTCTCCTCTAGATTTTGGGCACACATACACACATACCCAATGTGTTTTTCAGGTTACAGAGTCTGGGATTCAAACTGCTCAGTTGGCTGTGTGGAATCCAGCAGCCTTAACCACCTAGGAGGTTTTCGGTTAAGCTACTGTAACAAAAAAGGCCTCAAAATACAGCAGCTCAAGCAAGATAGAAGTATTATTATTATGAAGTACATTGTAACCATCTAGAGGTAGGGGCAGCCCAGGGCAGGCTCTGTTCCTGAAGTCTTTCAAGGACCATGGCAATGGCTCTGCCTTCTCAGTATCTGCTGTTCATCTCTAGGGCTGAGATTAGTACTCCAGCATCTCCATCTCTTAGGAAGTGGAAAAAGGGAAAGAGAGAAAGTAAAACACGTGCTCTTTCCTTAAAGAAGTAAATTTTTTAAAATTACCTCATTTACTTTTACTTATTATTATTATTGTTATTGTTATTTAATTTGACTAGAGAGAGAGAAGGAAAGTGATAAAGCAAGCCACCAGGTCCAGGACTTGAACCGTGGTTAGCCATGTGGGAGTTGAGTGCCTTAGCCACCATGCCACCTGCCTGCTAAAGAAAGAAATTTATACATACCACTTTCATCGCCTTTGATTGGTGAGAACCTAGTCACACCTGGCATTTGCTGTTGGATGGTTACAGATCCTGGCTATCCAGTCTGTACTTTGTTCGAGTCTTTCTGTAACAGGTCATCTTCCTCTCATCAACCTTCCAGGTGTGGCTACAGAGGAGGCTACATGGAGGTGATCAATCTGCACCCTGAGATTAAGGGCCAGCTGGTAAAGCTACTCTCCGTGCGTCTGTGTCCACCAGTATCTGGACAGGCTGCCATGGACATTGTCGTGAACCCCCCGGTGCCAGGAGAGGAGTCCTTTGAAAATGAGTCTGTTGTGACCCATCCACCTCACTGTTGCCCCCAGAGTCAGAGTTCCTGTGTAGCCCATAACCAGCTGAATGTGGCCTCCAGGGGATGATCATGTCGTCTTGGTGCCTAAACCACCCCCATGAGTTGGTTCAGTCGCAGGATGCTGTTGGACTGTGTTCTGAAGTGAGAGAACTGTGACTGTGTATGGGGTGTGTGAACCCTTCCCCTTCCTCGTCTGTGATCGCCACAGGTGGGCAGGCACTCTGAAAGAAGGGCCTTGTGTCCTGTTAACGCTCCAAGGGGGAATTCTGTTGTGAAATGAGAAAGGGGGAGGGAAATGGATGACAGGTCCTTGACTCGGCTATGGGCCTGTGTCTGGCCTCACCAGGCATCCTCACAGCTCCATGAATTCCAGTGAGGACCCTTTCGATTGCAAGTGACAGAAACCCAACTCAGGCTCACTTAAAAGAGTTTATGGGTCAGGTAGCATGGAAATCAGCTCTCAACTTGAGCAAACTTTCATCTTTTTTCTAAGCATCAAAGATCTTCACATTGATGTGCAACCATCACCACTGTCCAACTCTAGAACTTTTTTGCTATAGGGCACATGCGCTCACAAAAGAGACGAAGAGAGAGAGCAAAAATCACCCTCCAGAGGGGATGGCCACACCACAATCCCTTCTCCTGGGATTTTGGGCACACACGCACACATGTCTGGTATGATTTAAAGCTGCCAGGTCCAGGACTCAAAAACTGTGGTTATCCATGTGGGAGTCCAGCATAGACTACTACAGTACCCACTGGCCCCCAGAAATTTTTCATCATCCCAAACTGAAACTTCATACCTGTTAACACTAACTCCTCATTCTCCCCTCTCCACCCCAGCAAGCACCATTCTACATTTTGTCTCTGTGCACTCACCTCTTCTAGGTACCTCATGTAAGTGGAATCCTATAGTAGTTATCTTTCTGTGACTGGTTTATTTCACTTAACATCCTAAGGTTCACCCATGTCATAGCATGTATCAACTGAGTGTTCCATGGTAGAGATATACAGGTTGAGTATTCCTTATCCAAAATGCTTGCAATTGGGACCAGCAGTTGGCATAATGGCTATGTCACTAGACTCCCATGTAGTTGACCGCGGTTCGAGTCCTGGACCTGGTGGCTTAAACTCACACCAGGCACATGTGCATGCATGCCCAAGGTCCCAAGAGGAGAACGGAGAAGAAGGAATTGTAGTGTGGCCATCCCCCCGGGTGGGGGTGATTTCTCGCCTTCTGTCTCTCTGTCTTTCTGGCAAGTGCACATGCCCTATAGCAAAAACTTCTCCGAAAAAAAAAAAAAAAGCTTGCAATCTGAAATGTTCTGATTTGGTGGGACCAGCAGTTGGCGTAATAGCTATGTCTCTGGACTCCCATGTACTTGACCATGGTTCAAGTCCTGAACCCGGTGGCTTAAACTCACACCAGGCATGTGTACGTGCGTACCCAAGATCCTGAGAGGAGAATGGAGGAAAAGGGATTGCAGCATGGCCATCCCCCCTAGGGGGTGAATTCTCGCTTTCTGTCTCTCTGTCTCTTTCTGGCAAGCGCACGTGCCCTATAGCAAAAAGCTCTCAAAAAAAAAAAAGAAAAAATGCTTGCAATCAGAAATGTTCTGATTTGGTGGAACCAGTAGTTAACATAATAGCTATGTCACTGGACTCCCTTGCACTTGACCGTGGTTCAAGTCCTGGACCCTGTGGTTTAAACTAATACTGGGCGCATGTGCGTACGTGCCCAAGATCCCGAGAGGAGAATGGAGGCACAATATTTATTAGCCTGAAGGTAATTTTATACAATATTTTTATATTGTAGCATTTGACTGTGACCTGTCACATCAGGTCAGGTGTGGAATTTTCCACTTGTGACATCACATCTACACTCAAAAACTAGGATTTTAGAGCATTTTGGATTTCATATTTTTGGATTAGGGATGCTTAACCTGTACCACATTAGTTTATCCACTCACCTGCAGGCTCACACTTTTTTATTATTTCTCACAAGTACTTGCAGAAGCCGTGAATGTCTGCTGTGGCTTTGGGCACATGTCCAAGCACTGATCAATTTACTCTGCCTGAGTTTTATGCTCCATGCACCCCATTCAGACAGAGTGGGCAGGGGTGGTTTCTAAAATGAGGTGATGAGACCTGTGTACAGAAGGAGCCATGACTCCTACTAAAAATACGTTCTAGGGTGTTCCATGTAGAGCCAAGTCCATTAAGGCTGGTGGGCAAGGACTGGCTTTTCTTGTTTTCAGGAATAACCTGGAACAAGAATAGAACCTGTGACACAGGCTACCCAGGACCTACTATGTGGCCTAGAACTCCCTGTGTACTCATGCGCCCTACACCCCAGGGCATGTGACAGACTCCTAGACTGAGCATCGTGGAAATTCTTTTCAGGAGATCCATGTCCCACTCACCTCCCTGGTTTGCCATACTCAAGCTCACACAAGCTCACCTTTTGTCAATACGTCTAGTTCTCCTGGAGCAGTCCTCGTGCAGAGGTGCTAACTCCTGTGCTTTCTCTGTCTCCATTAGGAGAAGGAGTCCGTTCTAGGGAATCTGGCCAAAAAAGCGAAGCTGACAGAAGACCTGTTTAACCAAGTCCCGGGAATTCACTGCAACCCCCTGCAGGGAGCCATGTATGCCTTTCCTCGGATCTTCCTCCCTGCCAAAGCTGTGGAGGCAGCTCAGGTCTGGGACCCTGGGCTGGGGGGCTTTCTCATGGGGTTCACTCAAATGGCTAGGTCAGAGGCTGCTTCTCACACCATGGGGAGCAAAGGTGCTGACCTGAGACGTCCTGAGCTCTATGGACTTCTCAGCCAGACGGTATTTACTAGGTAGAAATGACAAGTTGTCAAACACCCAGCCCCAGCAGCGTGCTGTGGTGATGGAGCAGATGTGAGGTGCCTGAGGCCAGAGGTGCTGATCCGGCCCCGTAAAGGTTTCTACTCCAGAGGGAGGTGGCCAGTGTGATGCAAAGCTGGGGAAGCAACGGGAGCTGTCTTCTCCTCCTGGCCACTGTCCTAGAGTAATGCCTCACTAACTGAAGTGTATACACCAGTCACCTGGGGCCTCGTTAAAATGCCAGTTCTGGGCTCACTAAGTCTGAGAGACCTGAGATTCTGCATTTCCAGCAAGCTCTCTGGGGCTACTCAGAGCCCACTTAGAGGACCAAGGACTGAGCATTGTTTGTGAAAGTGGGGTGTCCTCATCCCACCCCCAGACCTCCTGAACACCTGGCTAAGCATTCAAAGCCTATATTCTACCTGGACCTATGGACTCAGAGTCCTTTGTGCTAGAACTCGAGACTCTATACTCAACAGGCTCCCCGGGTGGCAGCCTTGCAGACCATGTGGGGAGAAGAGTGAAGAATATTCCTAAGGAGGATTGTTTCCCGAAAGCCCCTGCGGCCCAGACCTCAGGTCCCCATTCTCTGAACAGTGAATGGCTTAGCAGTGAGATGTGCCAGGCAAGCTGCCTGGGGATGGGGTGTGAAGGCAGTAGCTCTGACTCCCCGACCAAGAGCAGAAGCACCCTAGCCTGGCTGTTCTGCAGTTGCCTTCAGGTGCCCTGTTGTCTGCACAGCTACCAGCAGTGTCCTGGGGTCCTGCCTTGGCCCTCCAGGGAGGGAAAAGAGAAGGGCTCTCTGCATGGGAGGAGGGACTGGCTTTGAGTTTTTAATGATGTGTGTGTATAGAGCAAAGCCGGGAATGAATCATCTCTGCCCTGCCCTCACAGGCACATAAAATGGCCCCAGACATGTTCTACTGCATGAAGCTCCTGGAGGAGACCGGCATCTGCGTTGTGCCTGGCAGCGGCTTCGGTCAGAGGGAAGGCACCTACCACTTCAGGTACAGAGTTCTCCCTGCACCAGCACGCTGGTCCCAGTCTATCCAGGGAAACGTGGGACACAGAGCTAGCCTCAGAGACTGAGAGGTGTGGAACCCCTGTCCTCCCTCGAGTTGCACCCCTGCCATCCCCCTTGTTCTGTCCTGCGGCAGAGCCAAGCTCAGACCCTTTGCCCAGGGGAAGGAAGACAGGGTGGACTCCAGGACCATTTCCTCTGAGAGGGCTTCCTTGAGGTCCTGAATCTCCTCTCTGCTGCTCCCATCTATTACATTACCCTCTGAAACATCCCAGTGGTATGTGTCTTCCTTATTTCTCTGTCCCTTACTCCACGATAGCTGCCCATAGCACCCAGGTGCTTGAACAGTGCCTGGCACATAGTAGGTGTTGATAGCACCTCTACTGCACCACTGTCTGCCTGTGAGCCCCAAAGCCTGCTGAGATGCCGCATGCAACACACACGGGAATTAGCTCTGCTTACTGTGGTGCCTTTCACAGCTCCCCACCCTGCTTCCTGTGCAGAAGGAACACTGGCTCCCAGAGCCCAGCTGGCTGGGCTCAGCAAGGTTTTCCCACTGAAGTTCATCCTGTTCAGAACAGCACCTTCTCCGTGCATGTCACTCTCAGATGTCTCCTGGGGCAGATGCTAAAAATAGGGATGTCATGAGCTGCTAACACCTGGAGCCAAGTATTGGCTTAGTCAAGGTCATGGTTTATATCCTCCTGATGGACTAACCTTGTCTGCTTGGCCTTTCTCCCTTACTCAGGCTTCCCTCAGGGATTTCTGGTTCATTGAAAAAGTGGCCTAACCAAGAAGGCTGCCTCTGTGGTTGGCGCATATTGATGGGATTGGAGGGAGCTGTCAGTTACCATGGCAACTAGGACATTTCTTTTGGAGGGAGAGATGTGACAGGAGGTTGTCTTGTTGCACACTGGCCAGCAGAGATGAAAAAGTCCTGTCCAGCAAGACACTGGACACTTCCTCACTCTGTAGGAAAGAGCAAGAGTCACACTCTAGAAAAAGTTTTATGCTCCAGTCAAAACATCATGCAAGGGACCAGCAGATGGTATAATGGTTACATGCATCACTGGACTCCCACGTAGTCAACTGAAGTTCGAGTCCCAGACCCAGCAGCTTAAAACTCACACCGGGGGGCTGGCAAGTGGCATGGTGGTTAAGAGCACTGGACTCTTACATGACTGACTATAGTTCAAGTCCTAGACCTGGCGGCTTGCTTTCTCACTTTCCCTCTGTCTCTCTCATTCTGTCCCTCTCTGATCAAATTTAAATAAATAAATAAATAAATAAAGTTAAATAAAATCATTCTGGGAACAGCAGTTAGTGTAATGGCTATGTCGCTGGACTCCCATGTAGTCGACCATGGTTTGAGTCCCGGACCTGGTGGCTTGAACGCCGGGTGTGTGTGTGTTTATGCCCAAGATCCTGAGAGGAGAATGGAGGAGAAGGGATTGCAGCGTGGCCATCCTCCCTGGAGGGTGATTTTTTGCTTTCTGTCTGTCTGTCTCTCTCTTTCTTTCTGGCGAGCGTGCATACCCTATAGCAAAAACCTCTCTAATCAATCAATCAATCAATCAATAACTCTTTAAAAAATAAATAATAATTTAAAAAAAAAAACAAAAAAACAGGACTCATGTGCATACAGGCCCAAAATCCCAAGAGGAGAATGGAGGAGAAGGGACTGTGGTGTGGTCATCCCCCCTGGGGTGTGATTTCTTGCTTTTTCTCTCTGTCTCTATGGCAAGCCCTATAGCAAAAATTTCTCAAAAATTTTTTTAAAATGTCATACAAGCCTTCGGTGGTAGTGAGTGGATGCATCTTAGCTTAAATACTTTCCCAGTTGATTGCTTTTGTCCACATGTATTCCTTGGGTAAAAAGTAAATGTGTGGGGCCAGCAGGTAGTGTGGTGGTAAAGGTACCGGGTCCCACATGGCTGATTCCACAGTTCGAGTACCAGGCCTGGTAGCTTGAAAAACATGCCAGGCATGAGTGTATGTGTGTCCAAAATCTCCAAAGGAGAATGGAGGATAAGGGATGGTGGTGTGGCCATCCCCCCTGGGGGCTGATTTCTCATTTTCCTTCTCTCCGTCTCTCTGTAGCGAGTGCACACACCTTATAGCAAAAGCCTAAAAAAGTAAATGTTTGAATTGGGGGAAAGAGCCAGGCTCTCTCCAGGGACTGGAGCTGGCAAGGTGGACAAAGCAGACTGTCCCCTTCCACACAGCTTCCCTCTTTGCCTTCACTCCCAGAACTGAAAGATGAGCTGCAGAATTCACCTCTGCCCCCTTCTCCAGAGAAGCCAGTCTGATACTCTTCTCTTTCCTGACAGAATGACCATTCTCCCTCCAGTGGAGAAGCTGAAGACGGTGCTCCAGAAGGTGAAGGACTTTCACATAAAGTTCCTGGAAAAGTATGCATGAGGATGCCTCGGTCCTCCGAGGGAGACCCCTCCTTCGGGCCTGCCTACCCTGGCCAGGCTGAACTCACCTTCCCCAGTGGCTCTGCCTCAGGCCTCACAGAGGTCACTGGTTGCGTTCATCATCATTTTGCCCCAGGAGACTTCTTTCTTTGTGCCTTGATGTTGGGAGCACTTCTCTTCTGAGCAAATGTGAATTCACCCTGTCCCAGAAGCCCTGTCTTTTTTGATGTAACCAAAGTAGAGGGGACCGGCTTAGTAGATATGACCAGGGTTCTCTGAATCTGTTATTGTTGTTGCTTTTGGAAAGCTCATGTGGGGTTTTGAACAACCAAGGTGTGTTGGGTGAGGAGTTTCAGATCTGGAGAAACAAGCAGGTATCAGGAAATGTAGAACATCACCATGGTGAAAACTGGGCATCCCATACACCAGTGTGAGCAATGAAATAAACCCTAGTGGTGTGAAAATCTAGTCCTTTGAACAGTAGAACCCTGAAGTCCAGTAGAGTCCAGAGAGGGTCTGCTATCCTAGCCTTGTAGCAGGCAGCCCATCTTAGTCAAGATGATGAGGGCAGTAGCGCACAGGTTGGACAAGATGCCAGGCTAGGTTGTGATGGACATGGGAGGGGCTACGGCCAAGGTCAGACCTACAGGGGAGGAATGGGTGTGAGCCAGGTTCCAGGTTGAACCAGGTCTCCACTTCTGAGCAGTGCAGCAAGTAATGAGGAGTCTGCACATGGAGGTCTTTGGAAATGAAGGTTTCTCTTGAACATGCTTAGGCTGGGTGTTCTGTCCAAGAGGTCTTCCTAGACTTCAGGGACACATGGTACAGCTGGCGGTATCCTGGTTAATGAGGGGCTCTTGGCTGTGCTGTGTGGATCCACCCCATGGGTTATCCAATCAGATCTCTCTTTAGGGCTTGACTCAGTCTTTTACTCCAAGCCCTCTGCTAGCAGCAGCAGGGACAACAAAGACTGAAAATGTCCTAATCCAGGAGGGGAAGGGGATCCTCAAGGACTTTACCAACAAGCAAGCCCCTGTAGTTTCTTAAACTGTTCCAAACAGAATCGGGTCCATTTCCTAACTCTTCATTGGTAAAAGTGCCTGGTGGCTTGACTGCTGTGCAGGGGTAAGTGGGATCTGATTTGAAGTTTATTGAAGTGTTTTACCTTCATGCAGAATGTTTTGCCTTTGCATTAGCTGCTGGCTCCCCTCCCAGACTCTGCAGACTCCGTCCTGTGGCATCAGCATCTCTCTAGGCCAGGAGGGTGTCATCTCCCAAGCGTGCAGCTTCCCTGACACTAGCAAACCTGGGCAGGGCCCAACCCACACTCCAAGGATGCAGTGCTAGGGCAGCAGCTGGCTTAGTACTTGCTTCCTTATCACCAGGAGCCCTCCCTATTGCTGTCCGCCTCTCCCAGTGGGAAGTCAGGGAAACCACAACCAGCCCAGTAGCCCAGGCATCCAGCAAGTCCTCAAAATGGAATTAAAGGAGCTAGGGAGAGAAACTCAAATGGTCTAAGGAGTTGGAAGGTTGCTGGAAGGCAAAACCCACTGTGCTACAACTTCCACATGGGTCCGTGCAGGGGAATGCAGGACTCAGTGCAAACTGTCATTACTCACAAGCATTGCATTGCAGTCCCTCCAGAAGAAGTAGCCACAATCTCAAATAACAAAAGGGAATGTTGGGAAACTTTTCCTTCCTTAAAATATTGAATTGAATAAAAATTGCACTTGTGCTTGTTGTAGGGTATATAAACCAGGATGTGTCCCAGAGTCATGAGATTTCTGGCGGAAAAGTTAAATAGTAGAAGCTAGTATATTTTTTATATTTTTGTAATGGTTGCTTTTTTCATGGGTGGGGAGGATTAGTATTTATAGTCTTAACATGTCCTGTAATTTTTTATAAGTCTCTTCAGATTATAAATAATCCCTAAAAACTTTGCAACGTTTACATGATTTTTTAAAAGATGCTATATACACTTGGTTTGCTTTTAAAATAAATGAATAAGGTCAGCTACTTTAGGAGGTTCACTTCAGGTAGGAACGCTATTGATGATCAATTCGATTTTCTATAGATTCTATACCGGTGCCTTTCCAGTTGGACACCACCGGAGAAAGTTGTCATTTGAGGTTGCTCTTTGACTCTACTACACCGATGAGGTTTCTGTTGTTCGTCCAGATCTGCACATGGGTGACACCAGGGAAGCCATGCTGGGCTGTGCCTCGGTGGCCCTCAGCTTACATGTCCAGGCCGGGCTGGTTGTTTCTGTTCTCGTGTGTGGAGTTTTCAGGAAGAGCAGATGCTGCCTGTGGTTGCTTTCTAAGCTTGGTTCTCACAGGCATCTCCTGACAAAGGTACTTAATGATAGCTCTACTGGAAATTTCTAAATAAAATATGTGTCCAAAATGGTGACTGTGTTTAACTTTCCTTGTCATTTAAATCTAAAACTTGAGTGGACATCACAGATTTTATGTCTTTACTCTTTGTCATTTGTTTACATTCCTACACAATAAGGAGCCCCCCCTACCCCCTCAAAACTACAAACTGCAGTCATAGCTTCTCAGCTTTCATTTCTTAGAGGTAAACCTAACAACTGAGCTGGGTTGTTGTTGTTGTTGTTGTTTTACACTCCAGGTGGAAAAACCTCATGTATTCTTTGTAATAGAAAGTTGTTAAATGAACCCAGACCGTGACTTTCTGGTGGAAGTGAACTAAGGTCTTACACAGCTTCTGGCCTGACTGCAGTGGTGTTGCTGCTAAGCTGTTGTGCTCTGCAGGCTGGGACCTTAGATATGGGTTCATTTCCCAGTTCAAGATAATGGTAGGGTATGTTGCCCTGAACCTGTCATTTGAGTGACTCAAGGAGTCTTGAGGCAGGAAGATTGCAAGTTAAGTTCAAGGCTGGATTGAGTAATGTAGCAAAACTCTTGTCTATAAAAAGAGCTGGGCTCAGGGTGGTTAAGGCAGCCAGATCCCACATGGCTGACCCTGTGGTTCAAGTCTCATACTGATGGCTTGGGAAGCATGACTAACACATATGCCTGCATGCCCCCAATCCTGATAGGATGGAGAAGGGATTGTGGCACAACCATTTTCCATCGGGGGCACTTTCTTCTCTCTCTCTGTCTCTGGTGAGCATATGTGCCCTCTGGCAAAATATTTTTTCCCACCTTTTTCATGACTGAAACATAAAACATCTAAAACCGCAGCTTCTGAAAGAACCACTTATTCTTGCCTGTCTTGTACCTCTCTTCAAACTTGACCTTTGCCTCCCGCCAGGCCTTGCGTTTAAGAGCAGGGTCTCTGAAGACATCCTTGTTGACCACAGTTTTGTCCAAGGGAATATCCACAGAGTACCTTGTGGGCATGAGGTGATTGTAGTTATAAACCTTCACAAAAGACTTGATCTTTGGTGTGCTGGTTAAAGGCACTGGACTCCCACATGGCTGACCTTGGTTCAAGTCCTGAGCCTGGTGGTTTGGTTTCTCATGTCCCCCTTCTCTCTGATCAAACTGAAATAAATACATACATACATACATACACAAAATTAGATGAAATAATAAAAAAAAAAAAAAAGAGCAGGGTCTCTGAAGACATCCTTGTTGACCACAGTTTTGTCTAAGGGAATATCCACAGATGGCCTTGTGGGCATGAGGTGATTGTGGTTATAAACCTTCACAAAAGACTTGATCTTTGACCTCTTGGTGCTTTTCTTCTTGCCCGTGGCAGCTATCACTGCCGGGATAGCGGTCAATTGCAGCCACAAGAGCGTGGCTGTAGGGGCTATCTGAGGTGCCATCATCAGAGTTCGTCACGATGGCGGCTTTGCATCCAGAGTAGCGTCCGGCCAGCACCAGCACGACTTTCCCGGGTTTCATGAACTTGCCCATTTCGACCCCCACTAGGGCCTCTGGCAAAATTTTTTTAAAAAGAGCCAGATGGGGACCAGCAGTTGGTGTGATGGCTGTGTCACTGGACTCCCATGTAGTTGACCACGATTCGAGTCCTGGAGCTGGTGGCTTAAACTCACATGCGTGTGCGTGTGTGTCCAAGATCTTGAGAGGAGAATGGAGGAGAAGGGATTATGGCGTGGGTGATTTCTCACTTTCTGTCTCTCTGTCTCTGTCTTTTTGGCGAGTGCATGTGCCCTCTAGCAAAAACCTCTCCAAAAAAAGAAAAGAAAAACTCAGGCTGGGCACAGGTACGTACTTGCCCAAAATTCTAGAAGGAGAAGGGATTGGGGCATGGCCATCCCCCCCCCGGGGGGGGGTGATTTATCGCTTTCTGTCTCTCTGTCTCTCCACTGTGTGCACATACCCTATGGCAAAAATCTCTCTTAAAAAAAAAGCAAAATACAGAAAAAAACAGATGTGTGCCTGCTAGTGGTCCCAACTAGAAGGCTGAAGCAGGAGGATCGCCACATAGCAAGACTCCACCGGTCTTAAGAAAAACTAAAGGGTTCTTTATAGGAGTTGGAGGAGGGTGCTGGAACTGGAGATGAAGCCATGGGCAAAGAGGGAGTTGTCTATACAACAGATTTCATTAATTTTACCCAGGCTTTCCCATCGACCTTGGAGTTAAAGGGTAGTTTTGAAATTCAAAAAAATTTTCCCCTAAAGCCTAACCTTTGGGATTTTTTAAAAGAATTACTGGGTTACATCATTGTACTCCCATATGGCCAATCATGGTTTGAGTCCCAGACCCGGTGGCTTGAAACTCATGCCAGGTGTGTGTGTATGTGTGTATGTGCGTGTGCATGCCCAAGACCCCAGGAGAAGGATTGCAACATGGTCATTTCCCCCCCCGATGGGGGATGATTTCTCACTTTCCCTCTCACTGTCTATCTGTCTGTCTCTCTCTCTCTTTAGCAAGCACATGTACCCTGAGGCAAAACCTACCCCCCAAAAATTATCTATTTAATTTTTAAATGTATTATTTTTTTTAATTTTTATTATCATCATAATCTTCTTTATATTACATTGGATTGCATATAACTTTACAGTGATGTATTATTATTTTTGTTTTTGAAGGGGAGAGGTTTTTGCTATAGTGCTCATGCGCTCACTAGAAAGACAGAGACAGAGAGACAGAAAGCGAGAAATCACACACACACACACACACACACACACACAAGGAGGGATGGCCACGCTGCAATCCCTTCTCCTCCATTCTCCTCTTGGGATCTTGGGCACGCACACACGCATGCACACGTGCCCAGCATGAGTTTAAGCCACTGGGTCCGGAACTCGAACTGCAGTCAACTACATGAGAGTTCAGTGACATAGCCATTACGCCAACTGCTGGTCCCAAATTTATTATTTTTAAAATTTGCTATAGGGCACATGCACTTACCAGAGAGAAAGAGAAAATGAGAAAGTAAGCCACCAGGTCTAGGACTCAAACCATAGGCTATGTGGGAGTCCCCCAGCTCAACCACCATGCCACATGCTGGCCCAAAAACTCAACCTTTCTATGTCTTTAATAAAAAATAATTGAGGGCTAGCCACCCGGCACCACAGATGAGTGCTGTGCAGACAAAACCAATACCATGTGGCCATCTGGGGTTTGAACCCCTGTCCCTGCAGCAACATGCTGTGCACGTATGCCTGAGCCTAGGATCCTGACAGGGTAAAAATTGGAGGAAGAAGGATCATAGTATGACCAGGCCCCATAGGCGGGTGCTCTCTCTTGCCCATGTGTGCTGTATCAGGTGGCATGGTGGTTAAGATGCTGAACTCCCACATGGCTGTTGTTCAAGCAGCTTGAACGTTATGTCAGGTACATGTGCATGCATGCCCCAAATCCCAAGAGGAGCATAGAGGAGAAAGGATTGAGGCATGGCAATCTCAATCCATGGGGGAGGAGGACTTCTCATTTTCTCCTCTGTCTTTCTCTCCAGAGAGCACACATGCCCTATGGCAAAAATCTAAAAAACTAATAAAAATAGACTCAGGTGGAAGTGATCGAAATCCACTCAAAGTGGCTTAAGCAGAAAAGAGGAATGTATTGGGTCAGTCCTCTGGCCTAGTGATTAAGGGACTTGGAGCCCACATGGCCAACCATGGTTTGAATCTCGGCCCGAGCAGCTTGAGAAACATGCCCTGTCTGTGTATATGTGCATCCAAATTTCCAACAGGATGGAGAAATAGAAGAGAAGAGATTGCAATGTAACCATGGCTCATTGGGGGTGCGTTCTGCCCCTCTCCCTCTCTCTTTAGCAAGCACAAGCACAAATGCCCTTCGGTGATTAAAAAAAGAATACATTTTTCACATGACTGGGAGAGAAACTGACTTCAGTCCTTATGTTATAGGCAAATTCAAAACCTGTCTTATCCACCTCTACACTGAAACATTCCAGGGGAGGACTCTGGGAAAGGCCTTGGTCCACATGCCTTTCTTCAAGCCTGTCTTCGATGACCTGAGGAAAAAAAAAAAAGAGTGCGTAGGCTGGCCCTGTACACACCAGGGGAGGTGAAAAAGGGATCGAGGTGGAGAAAGCTATTCTCCATAGGAAAGGCAATTGGAGGTGGTTGCAAAACACATTTACTGGAACCAGCAGGAGGCATGGTAGTTAAGGTGCTGGTCTCCCACATGGCTGATCACAGATCAAGTTCCGGACCTGGTGGCTTTCCTTCTCACTTTACCTCTCTCTCTCTCTCTGGTGAGCACACATGCCCTATAGCAAACTTAATAACTACAGTAAAATGAATTTTTAAGAATTAATTAAAGAATAATTTTTAAAAATTCATTTACCACAGGGCTAATTTAGAGGATGGAGGAGGAAGTGATGTATTCAAGATGATTTGAAGGTCATTACTGGTGATTAAGGGACACAGATCCATAAGATACTCTCTGCATCTTCCCTCACTGTACACATGCATGTGCACACACACAGGAACACAAAATCCTCCTGGTCTGGGGCGCAAACTTGGTATAGTTATTGTTAGAATCTAATAGAACTGGGAAAAGATAGTTGTTATTCTAGATTATTTTCAGTGTAGAAATTGTTGTAACCACACCTGCAGAGCCTTCAGCAGATGGTCCATATGAACCTCATATGAATTGCAGATTTCTAGGGACTGGGGAATCAAAAGCTTGACCTGCAGGGACCAGCGGATGGCATAATGGTTACATCGCTGGTCTTCCACATAGCCGTGGTTTGAGTCCTGGACCTGGTAGCTTCAAACTTATGCCGGATGCCTGTGTGTGTGTGCGCGCGCATGCGCCTGAGATTCCAAGAAGAGAATGGAGGAGAAGGGATTGCAGTGTGGCCATTCCTCCTAGGGGTGATTTCTCACTTTCTGTCTCTCTGTCCCTCCAGCGGGCACACACGCCCCGTAGCAAAAATCTTTCTCTCTCTAAAAAATAAGCAAGACCTGTGGATATGGTCAATGTCCTCAAGAGATCTT